GAAGGCATTGTGATCGCAACTTACGCGAGTTTGGCGTCGCTCGCTCGGAGGAACTGGAGGTGAATCAGTGAATAGTGCAGGATGTTCTCTGATTGAGTAGCCAATCAGAGCGCGCGAAAAACACTATCCACTGTTTTAGTATAATTATACTAAAGATACATATCCGATGTTGCAACTGTTTATGAATAAAACAAAAATAATATAATGAAATAAATAACCTAATCATAGAATCCTAACTATCCTGAACTAAGGTTGTGTTTAAATATTAATCTGTTTACAAAGGCAGACATGAAACCCTCAGTATTGATGTTAGGGAACGTTGTTTTTTACGGAGATTATAAGAACAGACTTTCTTTGAAGGAATATAATATGAAGCTAGCGGGTGATTGTTTATAGAAGTTACTTTCTTAAAAATTTTACAGTCTTGATTCTTTAAAGAAATAGATCCTTGATTGAAACGGAGTAAGAAATAAAAATCGACATTTATGACATCTATCTAAAAAATTCTATATAATATTCAGATCAGGTTCAGAAGCTCCATATACGGGTAAACCATAAATAAAATTAAAAAACTAAGACAGTGAACAAGTGATCCATTTCAGCTTGTGAATATTGCTCTTTTCTAAGGGTCCTTAAGACATGGAGACATTTGTTTGCTTTAATTAATTTGAGATTAACATGCGCCCGAAACTTACAATCGCTCTGGATCGTAATCCCCTGTAAAACAAGACTACTGCATTTAGAAATGTCAAATACGGGGTTAAATTGAGAGTTGTTGCCTTTACTTCTGAAGATACGTTCTTTACATTTTTTCGGATTGCAAGACATGTTCTCTTTAGACCATGTCTTGAATTGTCCCACAAGGTTAGCAGACGAATCACATTGATTACTTACAGGACACACCATTGTAGAGTCATCAGCATATTTAAATAGAGCAGGAGCATTGTTATAAGAAAGATCTAGGTCATTCAAAAATATATTAAATAGATAAGGCCGCTTACACTTCCTTGGGTGTTTCCCTTGTTAACGACCTTCCAGTTACAGAGGTGATTATTATAGAAAATTCGCTGTTACCTAGCAACCAAGAAGCTATGGTACCAGTTAACGATGTAAGGATTGAGGGAAGCTGCTTACGTTTGGTTGATAACTTGCTATGATTTACGGAATCAAACGCTTTGCTAAAATCCATGGTAAACAAACGAACTCCCTTACAGTCGCAGTTGTCTAGTTGTCTATGTACATGTAAATTGGGTGGGGCTAATTCTCTTTCTACAACCGCTTTGACATACGTGTGGTACACAACTTTTTCGAATGTTCTTGCGATCACGGACGTGACGTTAATGTCTCGGAAGTCAGAATTCTCTTTGGGGTTGTCGATCTTTGGTACGGGGTTTATGTTCGCCCTCTTCCAAGAGTCCGGCCAGGTGTGAGTTGACAGCGAAAAATTCCAGACTTGGATTATAACCGGCGTATAATAGTTCGGCAGAATTCGGCATAATAAAAAAACTTAACCTCTAACGTAATAACTTTGCGACCATTAATGTAACAAACTCAAAGAGAACAGCTGATTGGCTATTTAGAATTGTTAGGATTTATAAAAAATCATACGACCTCCTGCTTTGATGTCAGGCATTGCTTTTTCAACGAAATAAGTCGTTTAGGACTTGTTCTATACCGAAGATTTGATTGCTCAATTCACAGTGGCTCAAAAATGCCGCAAAACGTTAACTCTTTTGGGGAAGTTATAACAACCAGTCTGAAAGTGAAAATGTTGAGTGACCTTGTAAACAGAGGAGACTCCCTTCAGTTCGCTACATAGCAGGGCTCTGCCCAAAAATGGCGGAACATTCTGCGGAACATTTCACTCGTTTCACGACGAACTATTGTCTAAAAACATAACAAGAAGACAACTCGATGGGTAACATCTGCTATTTGGAGTATATTTACAGACCTGAGCAGCCCTTTATCTTCTTAACATCCACTATCGAGGTGAACTTAACATCGACGAAGGTAATCATGCTTTGGCTTGTTTTTAAACTAGGAATTATTTTGAATGAATAATAAAGCAATTAATAAATTCGGCTTTCATAGGATATGAAGAATTAGACGGATTTCGGAGGGTGTTACCCTCCTCGATCTGCTTAATTCTTCATATTCTACTCAGCCTCATTCATTAATTACTAAATATTGCATTAGTGGTTGATATTTATTACATTAGTAAGTGTTGCAGTTGTGGTCGATTTTTACATTAGTGGGTGATACAGTGTGCGCCTTTACCTTTTAACTTCTTTTAACGCGAGCGTACCAATTAGCTGTCGAAAGATAAAAATCCTGGAGAATTTTGATAATAAAAGCGCTAACAGAAAAGTCCTAATCATATCCTAGTATGCATTAAATTGTGGAGAAGCGACAGAAGAATTATCAAACGGTAAACAGATGGAGACTGCTCAACAGTCCAGATAAACATCATATGTGCACATTGCCATCGCAGGCCGCTTTTGCTCTAAAACAGGTCGGCCTCTCGACCCAAGAAACTTGTCCAGTGTCACAGCTAACAACCCTACCGGAAAATAATCATCGGAGACGATCGCGATGGACTCCCAACACACTTTGCTGATGTAAATGTTAAAGCTGACTTCGGTTGGTAATTACCTGATAATCTGAAAAAATGTTTGCAGAGATTAAATTTTACGCTTAAAATTGATCGTCTGCCAAAATGCTTTTATCGAATCGGCTGTATCAATACGTCTTGTATGAATTGAAATCTAAAATACATATACTTTTATGCCAGTAAGAATGAGGGCTCGCTCAAGGGAGGAACTATTTTTTGAGAAATGTCAGTTAAAAAACAAGCAATACCCATAGAGACGATGGGTCCAAGTCCTTCTGAATATTTAATCTTCAATCTTTAATCACAGGTCGTATCCATACATAACTGATACAAATGAACTAATATTAACATATACAATCGAACAAAAATACAAAAATGGTTAACAGGCCGGTAGTAGGGGGAAACCAAATTCCCATGCTAAGACATACCCTCCAAAAAAGAAAAAAGAAAAAAAATTAATTAATTAATATATAAACATACATTAAAAGACTATAAATTAGACTATAAACCTAGATGCCTAATAATAATGCATAAACGTATATTAAAGACTCTATGCCTAGTATTTTAAGGTAAATTATGAGCGAAGGTACTTAATCAGTGAAACTTTAAAAGACTGAAGGCTAGGAGATGACATTACTTCAGAATATTAATTTCATCTTCTTTTGATAGGTTGCCTGTGAGTATTCTGCCCGTTGGGCGTACGTTTTATTTTTGTACAAAATTCAAAATTTCCCTGCGTACTAATTTGTTGACTATCAAGTGGTTTCGTCCATATACACTACTCTTTTACCTTTGCGCGATAATTATATTCAGACGTAAAAATCTACTCTTTTCAGCTACTCTATTCCTTACGTTTTTAATTTTAAAACAAGGCCAATATTGTCAAGAAGCCCTTTAAATCCAATCGCTTGCGTATATCAAATGCAGGTGTAGGAGCAATGTTATGTTTGGTACTTGATGCAGTGATCTTGCTTGGAGGAACAGCATAGAAAGGACAGTTAGTAGCCTTAGAAGTGTCTCTATAAGTGGCTTCATATCATTTTACATGCACTACTCTTTCATCTTTGCTGATCCTACAGCATGTAGGACGTGTGTCACATATGAAACTAGTAAATAGCTTAGTATATTGACCCTTACAATTATTGTCTCTGTATCATTATTTATAAAATAACTAAGATAGTACGCGCGCTCTGATTGGCCGAGAGGAGTGTTTGTATGAGAGGATGTAAACATGGTTCTGGCGTCAAGTTGTTTGGCTTTTCGCGCGCTAATCACGCAAGCACGAATTTGAAAAAAGTTTTCGAGTTCAAAACTCGACAAGTTTACTTTATTTACCCATTCCTTCGTCGGCTGAAACATGGAAAATCGTTACAAAGAAGGTGAGTCAATTTTTCTTCGCTTAAACTGACATTTTAAGCGAGAAAAATCCGTATTTTGCAAAGCATCGTTTTGCAAAACAAGAACTGATTACGCATGTAAGACTTCGTGGACAAGATTTTGCGACTGGGAAGAATTTCTCTTTTAATCAGTGCCATACAAAAAGTTTTTCGTTTTTTTCTCGGGAAAGTTATTTTATAAAAGCAATAGAAAACGGTTATGCAAACCCTCGCCTTCGTCTCGGGTTGCATAACTGTCTCGAATTCTCCCAACCCCTCTCGTGTTTATATCAGGCTATGCAAACACGGAAAACGTTTTCTATTGCTTAAACAGTACTCTTTCACCATTGCTGATCCTAGCAGTGTGTAGGACGTCTGTCACATATGAACCTAGTAAATGGCTTAGTAGCCTTACCTTCAGTGTCTCTGTATCATTATACAGTACTCTTTCATCATTGCCGATCCTAGCAGTATGTAGGACGTGTGTCACATATGAACCTAGTAAATGGCTTGGTAGCCTTCCCATCTGTGTCTCTGTTTCATTATATACAGTACTCTTGCATCATTGCTGATCCTAGAAGTATGTAGAACGTGTGTCATATATGAACCTAGTAAATTGCTTAGTAGTCTTACCATCAGTGTTTCTGTGTCATTATACACTAATCTTTCATCATTGCTGATCCTAACAGTATGTAGGACGTGTGTCACAAATGAACCAAGCAAATGGCTTAGTAGCCTTACCATCAGTATCTCCGTTATCATTATACAGTACTCTTGCATCATTGCTGATCCTAGAAGTATGTAGAACGTGTGTCATATGAACCTAGTAAATGGCTTAGTAGTCTTACCATCAGTGTTTCTGTATCAGTAAACAGTACTCTTTTATCATTGCTGATCCTAGAAGTATGTAGAATGTGTGTGTCTTTTTTGGATTCCCTTCAGAAAATATGGAGGATCTACGTGAATCAAGCGTACAAACGCCTGCACTTGGTGGAGGCTTTCCAGGGCCATCAAGGGAAATACGGCAGCTCGAAGCAAATTTAGAGAGGCAGCTCAGAGAGATGCGGCAACGCGAAGAAAACTTACAAAGGCAGCTTAGGGAGATACGGCAACGTGAAGAAAACTTACAAAGGCAGCTGAGGGAGACACAGCAACGCGAAGAAAACTCACAAAGGCAGTTGAGGGAGACACAGCAACGCGAAGAAAATTCACAAAGGCAGTTGAGGGAGACACAGCAACGCGAAGAAAACTCACAAAGGCAGTTGAGGGAGACACAGCAACGCGAAGAAAACTCACAAAGGCAGTTAAGGGAGATGCAGCAAAACTCACAAAGGCAGCTCAGGGAGATACAGCAACGTGAAGAAAATTTGCGAAGACAGCTGAGAGAAAGAGACCAGGAAGTAAGTGAGCTAGAGTTAAGTCTTTCGTTAGCCCAGCAAACAATAAGTGAACAGCAACAACAGGAAACATGCGATTGGGTCATTTCCCGTGATGAAATTCAAATGACCAATAAATGCCTTGGCAGGGGAGGCTGGGGAAGTGTTTATGAAGGCGTGTATTGTGGCTGTACTGTAGCAGTAAAGCAAATTCATGATCTGATTCTCTCCCCTCATAACATACTTCTTTTTGAGAGAGAAATGAATATTGCATCCAAGTGCCGCCATCCTCACTTGCTTCAGTTTATCGGCGCCACTAACGATGAAGGAAACCCTCTGTTTGTGACCGAGCTGATGGAGAAAAGTCTGCGAGCTCTGTTAGAACAGCGACAACTCACCGAAATAGAAATACGCGTAATTTCTCTGGATGTAGCCCTAGCAATTAACTACCTTCATCAGAAGAAACCAGAACTAATCATTCACCGGGATGTGAGCAGTGCTAATGTGTTGCTATGGCGACAGGGTGACCAATGGAGAGGCAAAGTGTCAGATTATGGCACTGCTAATTTCATGCAACAGACCATGACAGTGGCTCCTGGAGCTATGATTTACAGCGCACCTGAAGCACTTACATCAAACCAAACAGTCAAGGTAAGTTTTAGTGACGTTAGAATTTTTTTAAACGCCGTTTAGTCGACTTTCTTTCCATCGAGTACTCACAGTGTTGAGTACTCGATGGAAAGAAAGTCGACTAAACGGCGTTTAAACCAGCCGTAGAACACAGAGTGGCTATGAACTAAAGGTAAGGGAGCTTTTTGAATCAATATTTCGCGTGATCATGATTTTTTTTCCTTAGCGTTGTAGATTCGAATACATGTGATAAAATTCGATCAATAAGGGCCCGAATCACATGTAATAATGCAAGAAATATCGATTTTCGTTATCTTAAAGGCTACTAGTACCGATTGACAAACAAGAAGACTTCATATCTTTAAGATTTTTTGCATTTATTTGGCATCAGATAATACACTAATAATTCTAGTATATTCCGACCGAATGACCTCTGAAGCCCGAACCCACAAATAGTGCGCTTGGGCTGCCTGTGGTAAATCATACAACTCTAAATTCCAGCTCCTCCTGGGTATTCCAGTCAACAATGGTAATGCAACATTTGGGGCGGGGGATAAACAAGATTAATTACGGTCAAAAGAGTGAGTCGGGAAGAGAAACTAACCTTAAGAAAGAAACCCATGCACAATGCACAGAAATGTATTACAGGTGGATTTCCACTGTCGCTTAATACGTGCGTATAGAATAGAGGTATTATATGGAAGGTCACGCGTAAACGAAAACGTAGAACCTCGCTCAACGAGCGTAACAATAGGCCATTTGCACTAAGAGGCATGTGACACCGTTTTTATGAAAATGAAAGTCATATGATTTTGCCATCGAAAAACGATTAGCGGGTCATATCTTAAACAAAATAATGGGATTTGGTTTGTCAAACCCGCACCATTTTTTTTAAAATGAATAAGTTCGTAAATGGTCACGAGACCAAAATGTGATTTTTAAAATTATGAATTACTTCTCTCTGAACACAAATTTTGCACTTAAACTTCAAGGAAATTGTTGAAAAGATGATGTGATAACGTTTACAGCACATTTGAGCGTAACTATGAAACGTTGAACAAGATATAAGCAAGAAGTAGTTTTGGCCGGCGTGTTGGAGGGCAAGAGCATGCCCTCCAACATGGCGGGCAATACAAATCATAATACGTTGCTGAAAAATCAAAGTGCCACAAAATATCTCCCTTAAATGCGTTTCCTCTCAAATTCCGGGTGTAAGATAATTTTTGTGTGCTCTAACAATTTTTGGCATCAGCAAGATTCCAACTCATTGTTTAAAGGAAGCATTGGTCACGTGACCTCTTAGTGCAAGTGGCCTATTTGTTTGCGTATATGTACGTACGTGAAGATTACGCGATAGAGGAAACCCATCCTTATAGGATAGGTACGGGCTATAGGCGGCGTGCTGGAGTAACAACATCTTTTTAAAAGACTTTCCTTACTAAAGCTTATTAAGGGTGGATTTCCATTGTGGCGTATGTGCGTAAAATTTACGTTCGCAAATAAAATAGAGGCATTGTTTGAAAAGTCCCACGTAAACGTAAAATTTGAACCTCGCTCAACTTTGAAAAAAAAATGCTCAACAGTTTATATCTTGCCTCTATTTTATTTACGAGATTAAAATTTGCGTGCGTGTAAACGCACGTAAAGATTACGCGACAGTGGAAATCTACCCTAAGAGGCATCAAAACCAGAATGTAATACCGAACCAAAATGTTCTCAACAAAAATGTTAGCAAAACAAGGCGAGTAAGGTACAGTGAGTTCATCAGTTTGTGCATCGTTTGCTTCTAAATGACCTTTATGGAGAGGTTATTTTGGCCTTTGGGACGCACTTTACGAGGTTTTTGTTGAGAAGCTCAATAAAAGTCAGGTGTTTCAATAAAGATTGAAGTAGCCAGCAGGTTTGAATAGAGTAACAGACTGTGTATCAACAAGGGGCCGTTAGTCCCCTTTTTCTAGGCGGTAGGTGTTCTGAGCGCGTTCTGCCCCAGACAATTTTGAAACTTCAAAGCCCTAAAATGCGATTTTCAGCGCTCTGGGGACTAAATTTGATGAAAAAAGAGCGTGTTTTTCATTCAAGAAAATGTAGCATTCGATTTATCAGTCACACATTCAATCAGTTCTTGAAAGCAATGAACAAATGATGAAAACTAAATTACGTACTTTTGCACTTAAATTCTGTGTGAACCTATGAAGAAACTTGTGAAAAAATGACTGAAATATAGCGTTTACATGACTAAAGCATAACGGAAAACCAGTGTGCTTTTATGAAAACACAACTAGTTATTCAAACTAGCTGCTTCGTCTTTCTAGAAAAAGGTAGCCGACCTCTCTGAGCAAAGTAGCCGACGTCGGCCGTCGGTGCTTTTTGAAACCCCTGAAAGTAAACATATTGTCTGTTCTCTAGGACAGAGAACATATTTATTAGTAGAGTTTCCACTGTAGAAGCAGATAGGGCAGTAAAGAAATAATAACCACATTGTTCTTGTCTACTTCAGTTTTCTTGGAGAGGGGAGGGTGGGGGTGGAGGTGGGTGCTTATTAACTTTTCCTCCCTACAGGATAGGATGGGTTCTTATTCGAGATGGGCTACATTGTAATTCGAGGCTGGGCGCTTAATTGAATAAATACGATATGTGTTAGACTTTATAGTCCTTTATCTCCTGAATTTGCTAAGGAACAGTCAAATGGAGACGCGAACGTAACCCCCTCCCCTCCCCCTTAATCTGCATAATTCTTCAGATCATACTCAGCTTCATCTAATAAATGTTAAATGGCTAAATAGAAATTAAAAATGATACTAAGTGCTGGGTATAACTGGTAGTAGCATAATAGGATGCTCTAAGGCAAATAACAAGAAATAATCTGTATATTGTTCATAGGTTGATGTTTATAGCTTTGGTGTGCTTCTTTGTGAAATGTGCATCCGGCAACTTCCAGATCCTAGAAGACGTGAACAGCAAGTTCTACTGATGACGAATCGCGCCTTAAGAGGCCTGGTACGACGATGCCTGCAGACAGATCCTGAAGCGAGACCAACCATGCAGGATATAATCGATGAACTATCCAGAGCTGTGTAACGTCTATCAAATATATATTTTGTGAAAATTTTCGCAGTTGATAGAATTGAATTTCTAAAATGTCTATTGCAGGAAGTCGTGTCCAATTGTTTATCATGACAAAGTAGTGTACAAAAGTATTATTAGGAAAACAATTACTTAGGTTGAAAACAAACCACTTATTGGAAGTAGCGAGGACTTTTCCGTAAAATTTTAGTAACGATACCCAGAAGTAATACAGCAGTGTGTATTTTTTTGTATTTCCCATCGTGGTTAATAGCAAATGCCGTTTTTGGAGTAACGTTGTTAAAAACAAGGTAAATTATAGGTCTGGGAGAAAACCACTGAGACGCTAGTGTATGTCCTAGGCTTGCTTATACGATGGTTAAACTGGAAAAATAAAAAATAAGTAGCTCTATTTTTCCATATGCGATAGATTACGTTACTTTACAGGGGCGTAGCCAGGGTTTTTCATAGGAGGCGGTCTGGGGGGAACTGGGGGGGGTTACGCTGTGTCACACCCAGGGTACTTACCAGATTGGTATGTCCACATCCAGGCCGTGTTTTACTACAAGTGACATTGTTTTGGATGAGCAGTGAGATAGCTGCATGGATTAATTCCGTTCCACGTAGCAATATATACTCTATTATACTTGCGAACAAGGAACAAGAACATGGTCCACTGCAGATGTTCGGTCCCGCAAATGGGTAAGCAACAATCTAGCACTGGAAAAGATTGATTGCATTTTGATTCTCCGGATTCGCAGGTTTTGGCCACCTGATTTGTAGGGACATACAAAGGGGAGATCACGGGCACCCTAGGAGCAGCCCTAGCTACGCCCCTGTTTACATTTATTTTATTATTTCTTCTGAAGAAGTTCATACACACGAGGTAGACAATGTATATTTTTTTAAAATACTGTTAGTAGATATGGCAGTTATTAAAGGTTGTAGAATATACAATTAAATACGCGTTGTAGTTACTAATTAGCAGTTATGTTACTGGAGTAGACATGAGTTCCCTATGCCGGTAATAGGTAACTTATTCATGAAGCAAGGTTTACTTCAATTTCTATGTACTTATATACTTATTATGAAGTAGGTTGTAGACGTAAAATTGACGAAAGGTACCGGCAGATATGTCGCCTACGTAAAAATTCAATTTAGGCTATATATACCGTTGAATCCGTCGAGTAGTAAAGCCCATTAGGTATCCTATGAAATAGAATTTACCTAAATTTATGCAGTTGTAGCTATGTGCTTATGAAGTAGACAATGTTGAAGTAGACAATATCGAGTAAAGAAACAATTGTATCAGTTTTTGGCTTATGAAACGTTTTACGCCGATTAAATCTGCAGAGTAGCTAGCACATTAAGCGATTGCAATATTAGAGTTTCCTATACCATAGGTAACTTACTTGTGAAAAGGAATATACCTTAATTCATAAGTTACTTATGAGGTAGATCATGCAGATGAAATAGACAATGTTAAAAAGATACAAGATTAAACCTGCGTAACAGTAAGCGATGGTACATGTAATTAGAGTTATTTACAAAATCGATTGCACATCAATTCAGATTTGCTTATAAATTTAATCATCCGCTTAAAATAGACAATATTAATTAAAGAAACGAGTAGATGTTTCGCTTATATATGGTATACCATAAGAGTTTCTTAATTCAACAGATAACTCGACTTATAAAATAGGATTTTACCCAAATTCGTGTTATTAATTTACTTATAAAGAAGGTCATGTACTTCAAATAGACAACATTACAAGGAAACGAGTAGTTATATGGCAGAGGCCTCTCTTCTTTCTTTGCCCTTCCCATCGTGCCCCGCGCGCTCTCTTTTTCTTTCTCCCCAGTCCCCCTACAACACAAAGACGCCTCTGTGGTGGAGACAGTTGCTGTGTTAAAAAGCGTTCCTAGGGTTCAAACCATTTTACAATGCGACTGACGGCTAACAATTTGATAATATATTTTGAAGCCCGTAAAAACGGCTTGGAAACTAAAATTTCGAGGACGTTTGTGGACTTTTTACATTTAGGGCATGAAGTTTTCTTCATTTGAGGCCATGGAACCTAAAAATGAGCCTAGCTAGCTGTAAAAAGGGGCAATACGGAGGCAATACGTCCTAGCCGGCATGATCACATGCTGTTTACGGAAAATTCCCTCATCCATGTCAGGAAATTCTGTATTTTAAAGCCTCGCCTAGGGCATGACTCAGCAATTGAGGACATTTCTGCTACGTTTTCAATGTTGGTTAGCATGCAAGGATTTTTCCCATGCCTATCGTCAATGATTTGCTCATTGGTAATAGAGGGGGTGGCCCCAGAGTGGTTTTGCATTGAAATTGGCATGCAACAGAATTTCGCATGCCTTGTAAGCATAATTTGAGGTTCTGTGACCTTCTCACCCAGGCCGCGAGAAGCCTAGGTTCTAGTATTAAGTAATTCATACCCAGCAAAATCTCCGGCATGCCGGGCATGCCAAATTTTCTGACATGCCCGGCATGCCAAATTCTCTGGCATGCCGGGCGTGCCATGATCTGGGTCATGCCGGGCATGCCAAAATCGGTCTCTGGCATGCTCTCAACGCTCAGGTTATAATTCCTTGAATCTACAGATATTTTAAGCTTGGATAAAAGAAAAAAAAACTAAACAGATCACAGTGTTTATCTTTTGATGTACGGTTACACGATGACGTCATTGCTATTCCTTTCATTTTCATAGATTTGGTTGTCCCAGCGAAGTTTAAATAACAAAGCTCTAATTTTCACAAGAAAGTAAAACCCTGAGGGATTCTACCGTAGTAATAAAACAGCGTAATCGTGGAGATGACCTGTTGGGGGATTGTAAAAACTCCTTACCCCTTTTAATGAGTCTTTAATAGGATTCCCATTTCACATTGCGAATAAAATGGAATTGACTGAAATCAGTAAAAAGAGAGACAGAGACTATTTTCATTGTATAATAAAATGCATCTATGTTCCATGAAAGTTTTTAAAAAGACAAGGTTATAGAATATCTTTCAAAGTTCATTACAAACTGAGCTAAGCCCCAAAATCACTGTTCATTATTCAGTAAATTATGATGTTTGAAAATGCAATGTGCTTGAATATAACGTTGCAATTACAAATCTCTCTAACGCAATTTTCCCTACGTTAGAAAAGCTGTTTTTATCTTGCTTCACATTTTGATAAGGAGTTCCTCTTTCTTGTTTTGTAGGCTTGCCAGGGATTAATGTTTTTGTGTCATTACCAGTGTCTGTGTTCTTTGTTTTTAACTCAAAGTAAGTCAGTAATAACTGACAGTATCAAAGAATTGCTCTCTAGAAAAGTAATTATCTCCTCGTCATGTCTGGAAGTTACCTGTAACAAAAAAGAAATGGAATGTTAACACATGCAAGGGCAATATGAAAAAAAGAAATAGAACATGTAGAGCTCAGCTTCTCTTAACATATTTTCATACTGGCTTGTTGAGTCTGTTAAAGGTCGCAACTAATTGTCTGAGGCTGATTTCACAAGAGTGTGCAATTGAGATAAATGCATGGTAAATAAAGTGAAAGAAACGTGGTTTCACATTAGCCAATTTACAATTCGTTGTTCGATGATGTTTACACGCTTTTCTACTGTGAAATAAACCTTTGCCTGTGGATTTGCAAGCCAAGATTATACCGAGTTTGACTGACACTTAATTGAACAACAGTTTCCTTTTTAAGCAGGTAAGGTGTAGACCCATATAAAGCCGGAATATGTAAACGAAACTCAGCGAAAACTTTTTCGCGTCTTTTTGCGGCGATATTCTCTCACGGCCCGTCAACTGATTAGGGGTTGTGAAGAAAAAATAAATTAGGACCAAAGGTTAAAGCCTGTCCGGTTACATCATTTCGTATGTTACCTAGAGTTCTAATAAACAGGTCATAAAATAGGATTTAACGAGAGCGAATTTGTTTCTCAATCGGTGTATAAAAAAGTGAAGCTATCAAATGAGAAGTTTATAGAGTATCAAAATTATTAAATTAAAAGCTCATATAATTAGGAAAATTCCTATACGAAAACAATGCTAGTGACATTAAATTGATCAGATAAAATTCTCAGAAAATATGTCGAATAAAAGCCTCATTGTTTGCTTTTGTTTTTGCGTAAAGGTAAATTTTTCGGCCCACAAAGCAAAGTTGAAAAAGCGACTAAATCTTAGTTTTTTACGAGTTGACAACCACTTATGCCGGAGTTCTTAGGCATGCTCAACAGCAAGATAAACTGAATGCCAAAAGGCTAATTCACAGGATTTGTTCGATATTCAGGCTTTTTCGTTACCAAATTAATACTAAATTTGTACTTACAGTCTCTCGCAGAATCCATTTCTTGTCCAGCACTCAACCATGCACCGCAGAAAAAAAAGACAAACAAGTGCGAAGAGACATGACGACATCGTGACGCCACAACTGCCACGCTACAACAAACTAGATTCATCGTCATCCGAAAACACTTCTGCGGAAATTCGGTCGATTTCGTGCGTGCTCGGGGTATCTTCGGATGACGCAGATGACGTTGCTCAAAGGACTATCGTCAGCAAGGAGTAAAACAGTTTGCGAGATTCGCATAGCCGACAAGGAGCGCACTGAAAAACTAAGCAAAATCTCTCTGAGAAGACAGTCCAAATTCACCAAAGCAGAACGTCTTTGGAGTATTAACGTCGTACTCTCGTACTGACTTGAACGACCTGGTAAGCCTAATTTTCACCAGTCTTTTAATGCTGTTGACCGGGAAACTTTCGGACGCGATAAAATTTAAGCATGGATAAGTTTATACTGAGAAGATTTGTTATCTTATTGTTTAAGACGCTTTTCCGCGATCAAATTTAAATCTGGACCCAGAAATGTCAATATCGGTTAGAAATAAAAGGATTAATCTTTGATTGCAAGTTATGTATTCTATTTTATGCATGAATAATGTTGTTTTGTTGAACTTTTTATTTATAAATCCAGGCTTCTGTCTTCAGTTTTGCCAGTCGATC